GAGCGCGCGCCGTCAAGGACACCTGTTCCGCCGGGCGGGCATCCTCGGCGCGGAAACAAAAGGGCTCCCCGCGAAGCACGTGCTCAGCGACCTCGCTCTGGCCGCTCAGGGCCGGCGGCAATGCGTCACCCGCCAGAGAAGCCGTGTGACGCAATGCGCGCGAAGACCGCCGGTTCAGGGCGGATCCGTCGTCGCCAGACCGACGCGAACCATCACGGGCAAACGAAGTCCCGCTATCAGCGGGGATTCCTTCTCGCCGCCCCGCAACAGCTTCTCTTCGAACGAGGCACAAACACGTGACCATTACGGAAGAGGGCCGCAGGGAAGTTTGATTACAACCTCACGCATCGGCTTGAACGCGAAGCTCGGTTTTGTTTCTCTAGAGGCGAAAAGTTCATTCCGCCAGTGTGTCCTAGAAAAACAAAATGCACTTAGCGCTCATAACCACCATACTTTTCGTCCTTTCTTTCTAATGTCACGCTGAAGCTTGAGCGAAGGAAATGATGACTTAGAACATAACCGAAGAACTCGAATTTCAACGAAATAAGTTTTGGAAGGAAAGAAGCGTCTAGAATGTCCAGATGGTCCATTCTGGGAAACCACCATCCAGCACGCACCCCAGGAGAAAGAGAAGTCGTCGAGAGGTTTCAGCCATTACCATATAATATATGCTTGCTAGCAGAGTACCAAAAACAAGCTCAGTCTGGTTCACAATGACCAACACTGAACACTTTTGTTAAATGGGCGGTTTCTACACTTGTTCCCGTTGTTTCGGATTTTTTGTTGAAGTGATGAAATGCGCACATACATTTCATTGGGACACCCGGTACATGCCCAGGGAATAACTTCTGCAAAAACAATGGTCAGCAATTGCGGCAAGTGGCCCCCGACATAACGTCAAAACCTCTCCCCTATCCCTAACTAGCCGACGAATCATCATCCTGATTACGCCCACTGCAAGGCAACTGCCTCTCCCATGATCCGCCCATCAACTCCGTATTGTGCTTTCTGCTGCCGTGTTATATACCTGCGAACTTTTTAATTTCACCCAACTTTCTGTCTCCCCTTCGTGCGTCTGCCTTCTCTAGGAATCCAGTTAGTTGCCCTTAATGACCAGTCCTTAATGACGCCTCTCCACCTATCGCAAAGCACTGTTTTCTACCGCGACTGTGGCACATTACTTTAGTTTTGTGCATATTAATTTTCAGACCTACTCTTATGCTTTTCATGTCCAGTTCAGTAATCATGAGCTGTAATTCGTCCCCCGAGTTCCTCATCAAGGGAATGTCATCAATGAATACCTCCCGGCTAAGCGACCTTGACGCGAGTTGGCTAAGAATGTTCACCACAAAAAGCCGCATTGAAAGAGTTTTTTTTGTCTCTCCGCTCCAACCTGTGATGATAAATTGTAAGCTAGTGGTATGCGTGCTGAAAATACGCAAGATGTCTATTCCAGTATGGTATATTATTGTTGATTTGCCGAAATTTTCTCTTAGCTTGCCAAGACATCCCTCCCCTCCTTTACCGTGCAACCTCTGCCGTATTGGCTTCGTGTATTTCAGCCCTGAGTCTCAAAAGATTGCCGACCGCTCTACATTCGGACCATTATCCAGCACGTAGTCGGGAGGGGGGGGGGGGGGTCGCGTGCACAGTCATCTCTTCCTCCCTACCCCCTACGTGATGATTGTGTATACATGTGAACGGTAGCAAATTCACGTGCGCGCATAGTATTTCCAAGCAAGGCTTACGAGAATGACCTTGCAACTTTGAAATAAAACCGAAGTATGTAACAAAAACAGCGCAACACGATAATGCCAGATGGAGAAAAAAAAAAAAAAAGAAGAGCCTCTATAATATCGAAAGGCGAAGGAGGAACCAAAGGGTCTTTCCCCGTTGCGTGACGTGCGTCAATTGCTTGGGCTTTTTTTTTTCTTTTCTTTTTTACTGACTTCCATCATTTCATCACCCTCTCACTTTCCTACCAAACGGCTTTTTTCTTTTTTTGCCCTCGATTTTTCTTTTTTCCTTCAAAAGACCTTGCTTTATGCAGCAGGAAACAGATAGAAGCGAAAGAGGGAAAACAGGAATCAATGCCTCACAAGTCACGAGAAGAGAGGAAAAAAAAAAGAAAAAAAGAGAGAAAAAAAAATCGAAGAAAGCTAACGAGGAAAGCAGCGCGGTGATATTACAAATTCGAGAAGCGAGAAACAGCTAAAAGCAAACCAATGGAAAAAGAACGCACGGAGAAGAGCTAGAACTATCCATACATAGAAAATGCAGCAGTCACGAATTCCCCGATGGCGTAAAAAAAAAGAAGAGGAGAAAGGTCGAACGAATGAAAGACAGACAAATAAAAAAAAAAGCAAAGAACGGTTCAAGACACGAGGGTCCCAGCCCTTCTTGTCATGTTTTCTTTTGCTGCATGTGTGTGTGTGTGTGTTAAGCACTGCCTGAGCGACCTTAGCATTGGGTCTTTCCATTTGTGTTATGTTGTACGACGCCCTTGACATCGCTGGCGGAGGGCTATCTGGTGATGCCCAAGGAAATTGGGCCACTGCCTTCTGCAGGGAGGAGGGGAAGGAGCGGCGATAAAGAAAGTAGTGAAAACGGAAGGAAAACAAATCTCCTGTTAAAAGAACTCTTGCTGGACACGTACATATATATATATATATATAGTTGCAGAGACCATAACAAGGTCAAGTTTCTGCGATCAGCGATGAATGCTAGCGCCAACACTTGAAAGCGGGCAATTTCAGCGCAAGGGAGAGTGCATCAGCCGCGAGAAAGGGAAGCATTGTGTTTTTGTCATAGAAAAACACCTGGCATCTGGAGCGTCTGGGGAGGGGAACGAATAATGTCATCGTGACATTTCCACCGCCATCTGCTGATAAAGGTCAAGGATGGTGAGTCAGCTTCGTAAGTACAATAACATGACCGCGAAAAAAGTATATGGGGCGATCCACAAGAAAATGCACGCGTCACCGCCGCTCCTTATTCAACCGCAAATGTGGCGCTTAACTACGCAACTGTACCACCAAGTATGTTTTACAGACGCTGGCGGCACACTCAACTGCCCATCTAATATTATCAACACACAAATGGGGGGAGGGGTGCAAACGAGCGATTATCAACGTCACATATAACACGTGCGAGGAAGATTCGCACATGGCCTCCTTGCACCTGAATTCTATTGGGTGTGTGTGTGTGTCTTGAATAATGAGAGGAAAACAAGGCGAACTTTTGAAATAACAAAACGCAGAAATACATAATCACGAGCTGGCAGTGGCAATCTAAAATTAAGAACATTAATACGCTTCCTCACACTGCAATATATGCATTCGATCCTGAACACGACACTGTAGAATAGAGTAGATGCTTTGCTCACTGAAAGCTATATTTATTTCATTAATCAAAGTCGACGTTCACTTGCAGCGAAAGACTGGTACAACTAAGGAAATGCTCGTTTCCAAGCGAATTTCGTCCAATAACTAATGCAGACCAGCTGAGAACGCGCGCCTTCACAAGTGACGTCACTGATTTCGTTGCGGTATTTCATTTCCACCCTGCCGTGTCATACCAATGTTACCATTAACATGAAACATGTTTTCGTAAACGCCAGGCAGAAACAAAACGAACGGGGCTGTTATCGGCAAGACAAAAGTGCATGAAAAGCGTTGCCCCCAAGAACACACTACTCCAGCGTCGGCCGGATTCGCGCGTTGCGCAATACGACCTTGAGTTGTGTTTCTGTTTGGCGCCTCTCTCTCGCTGTCTTGGATATGACGGCATCATCAAGTGTATACACTCGTGTGCCTATGTGGCCACGCAAAAAAAAAAAAAAAGGATGAACGTAACTGGGCGATACAGCATTACGGTGAAAGCTGAGCGATAACGCATTGGCCAGAATCCTAACGCGGTTCGCTCAGCCTTTCCCGCAGAGCACTCATGCGGCACGCGGCCAACAGACGGCATCATATCCACTGCGCGCCTCGGACATATCAAGAGCAGGGCCGAAGCCAAGGCCTTGATAGCGAACGCGCATAATCACGCGCGCAGCCTTGACAATCGGCGCGACCGGGACCCCCCCTCGACGGCTGCAGTTTCGGCGCGCTCTCTTGGTTGGCGGCGGAGACAGGTAGCAAAGGCTCAAAGGGGTACGAGGAAATAAATGGGACCGTCCTTGAGGCACAGCTGACCTTCAAGACGTATTGTGATGTAGGCAGAAAGGATGTTGATCCACGAGTCTTTTAGGAAAGCCCCTCGTGGACACCACCGTGCGCGCGATTACAACACGCGATCGGCCTCGCTAGCTGTTGCAGGAAGTGCTCTATACACATTATCAGTTAGGCCTCGAGAAAACGTGACGGATGAGCGCGATCGACAATAACATGTAGTTATGCGGAAGAAAAAAAAAAGAAGAAATAATAAGAACAGGTGATGAGTGATCGAAATGCAAAAGAGCGCTGAGCGGCTGCTTTCAAAGTGACCACACCGCACACACATGTAGTACTATATACAATGTTTCAAGTCTGGGCAGAATTGCGTAATCGCGGATCTCGGCGAGGGAGGCCCCTTCCGTGTACTACCTCGTGTAGAGGCTCGCGACACATGAGAGCGCCTTCGAGAAACTTCCAGCAAAATAGTTTTGTCATCCAACGATTGAGAGATGACAAGCACGTCAGGTGGCACTAAACAGTAATCGCTGACCGTTTAATAATTAAACTGCTGACAACCCCGTGCAGCCTGAAGTAGAAGCGACGCGAAAAACCAGCCAACACCTTGTTACGCCAAGAGCACATTTTGCACTGACGGTAAGCCTTCCACACAATCGGAGCAGACATGACAGAATAGAGCTATAAAAGCACATCGCATCGTAGTAAACAGCCGTACAGTACTGATGAGGCTGGGCTCTGGTTAAACTCGCGCAACTTAGCATAAGTGATCGGATGTCACAGTCTGTAAACCACAATACAAGAAGCGTTGTGCACAGGTACACTTACGGGAGTTCACCGGGGCCTTCAGACGATTTTCTTCACAAAAAAATTAGTGGCAGTCAGTCGTTTGCACTCGTACGAATGTCGCGTAGCTTTCAGTAGCTGTTGGTATCACTTAAAGCAGCAATTAGTTCTAAAAACGCAGCGTATTTCGAATTAGTTTCGACTCGGTCAGGATTTGTTTTGGTTCTGTAGCTCACAGCAATCACATGACTTGTTTCCAAATCGTTGCAGCTCAGCCAATGGGAGCTCTCGCTTCCAGGAATTGCTCCGCGATGGTTCCACCTTTGCGGGAGAACCTTGAGAGAACATGGAGTCATCTGACCAGCGTTCAAGGAATGCTGAGGACTGCATTGAGCAACGATATAATTATTTCTACCATTATACACTTACAACCACCGAGTTTTAACTATAAGCGAGAGATATACTATTTTGAGGCATTACTTTAGTTGATTACGTGCACGCAAGTTTTGTAAACAATGTACTACAGCAGTCGTGACGTAATAAAGTGACGTAGTATGTTTGGGTATGAGCACGTGAGGTCACCTTCATGAGGTTAGAGTCATCTAGCGGCGTTTCGAGAAAGCACTAAAAAATTTTTCGCCACCTGGTGAGGCGGGGCGGAAACGGGCAACAAAAGAAAATGCGTTACTCTAAGAACCCTACCCGTCAATAATAACCCTATTCATCTTGTTTCTGTTAAACATCCTCCCTCTTCGTTGACTCTTCACTCCGGAAAGGTGATTGATTTTATTCGTCTTCCCATTGCTGCCCTGTAGCGTGTTGATCTTGTAGAGCGAGTGATTTTGCTTAATGAGCTCATTTGTAGACTTGCGTGCAGTAATTGAAAAGTAGAAATCATTTGACAAGTCCGTTTCGGTCGTCCATAAGTAAAATTTTCAGTATGGCTGATGGGGTTAGTTAGGCCTAATCCTCGAGAATTAACATCTGAACTCCAGAAAACCGTATAGATCTCACTGGACGTCTGTGTCGCTGTTTTTTCGGGCTGAACATGTGGACTACGCGGACGACGAAAATTAGTGAGCGTAGGGTTAAGGAAGCGTCACACCGCTATATCGGGTAGATGACCCGGTCTATTGATTGTCGCAAATTATCGCTGTCGCCCGTTGTAGCGTCCTCCGTGTTTGTTTAGCCGGGTCATGGACCCTGTATTGACCACGATCACGAAACTCAATTGCGGTCCAGTGGCCCGAAGGGGCCGCTGGTGCCCGGTCAGCTTTCTGACCCTATCCTATTCGACTTAGCTCGAGCGCATCTACTGGATATCGGAAGGGGATGAGTTGGCTTCCAGGTCTTCTGGAGCTCCTGTTGCGAATTCTGCGAGTAAGCTTTAGCCGAAAAGCGCGTTCGCGCTCCTCTTCGTAACTTTTGCCGCTTTGACTTGTGCATAAAGGGGTAAAGAGCAGTTGCCGAAAGGGTTGGCTGGCACCGGAGCATTTTTTTTTTCCTCTCCGCCGCGTCACTTTTTTCTAATTTTTTTTTTTCTTCCTCGATCCTCCGCTCCGGCGAAGCTCTCCTCTTCCGCATCCTTTTTGGCGTTCGCAGAAAGGGTTCGCGCGGGTGGATGTGCAAGCGCGAAGTGGCATTGCACTATGAAACGAGAAATGCTACGTTTTCATATTAGTGGCCCTAAGAGTTGGAGTAGTTTTAGTTTGTCGAATTACGTGTGCTACGACGTTAACTTCAGAATGATGGTTCACCCTTGCGACTGCGCAGCGTCGTTCTTTGTACGGACGCAGACGCAAAACGTCTTGTCGACCGTAATCTTTGTCCCAGCTTCGTACTCGACGTGATTCCAATGTTCGACAAAATGTTTGTCTCGTTTTTCTTGATGCGCGCGGTTTCTTGTACTTTGCGCTTTTAAGGCGTGCAGTTTTAAGCACGAGTTGAAGCCTCTGCCCTTCATTCAGATTTTAAAAAAATATTTTTTCAGTGGATTGTGTGCGCGAATCAGTTGCTTTATCATTTACTCCTTGAAAATTTGTTTCGGAAACAGTTTATTCAGTGCTTCTGGCGAAAAGAAAATAAATAAATATAATGGACATTCGTTGGGGTGGCTTCGTTCGGTTTTTCGTTTTCTTTTAACTTGGTGGCTGCTCCTACAGCAGCAGGATTTGATGCAGCTGCTGTAGGAGCATGAAAACTGGGAATTTTTGGGCATGGGGGACTGTTAAAAATTCTGAGGTAAATTTATTGCTACTCCTGTTTCTTAGCTGGTTGCATGACTGCTGAAGTACTCCTGGTTAGTGTTGGCGTATTATTCAACCTCTCTGATCTCATTTGTTAGTTGTGCCAGAGGATTAGGTGCTAAGTAACTTTTATGTTAGCTAGGATTTTCTTATTGATGCTGCTTTTTTACTAACGTGGGTTTATTTGTTACATTCTACATTTGAATTGACTATGTTTAAACTAAACTGTACAAAAGCAAACCAGCTGAAAGAAGTCATGTTTATTTTACTGTTTTAAGTACAGTAACAAGGCTGAGTACATAAGACTTGAATGTACTAACCCCCTTTCTTCAAGACATCTCAAGATTGCACTTTTCTTCTTCGTGGACTAAATATATTTTCTCTGTGGCTCTTTGCTGCACTTAAGGTAGAGTACAAAACTTTTTTTTCTTTTTTCATGGAACTTTTGTGCAGTTGACTTGTTTGTACAAAACTTGCTTTGCTAGTAACATGAAAAATTTTTCACAGCACATTCAGAATTGCAATGTATGACTAAGCCGTCCTTTCCCTGTTTTATTTCTAGTTAAAAGATTGAATGATGAAATGGTATCTTCCTTATGTGTCATAGTACGGAAAGCATTTGAAATAAGGCAACATTGTACTACTACTACAGCATTAAAAAAAAAAGAAAAAGAGTGCAGTTATCATTTTCACAGTCATGCCTAGCACTAATGTCTCAAGATGCATGGTTATCCTTAGCCGTTCAGTGCTCATTTTAGTACTATGTGGTTGGTGACATTTTTAGGGGCCACAAAAGTAGTATTTTTTTGTGCGTATGCACTGTTCGGCAATAAATTTGGCTTTTTATGAGCTATATATGAAGGCACTGGACTTTTGGTGGCTTTTGTTTTGTACTAGTGTAATAGAATTCATTTTGTTAAAAGCAGTATTATGGTACACAAAGTGGGCACAGCTGTATCTTGAGCTTCATCTCTGCACTGATTTTATTCTTTGAAGGGCAAGAGTGTAGTGTTGTTAGTACCGCGTGTAGTATCTTTGTAATTATGCTAAACTCTTATGCGTGTAGTGTCATTGTAATTATGCTAAAGAATGAAATCAGTTGAGAGGTGGCACCTGTTGTATTCATCTTCTTCGGCTCTCGTTTCTTCATGCTATAATGTTTCTCACGAAGGGTGTGTTGCGGGGCTACTTGATAAGACATTCATAAAACTTAAGCTAAATAGTAGTTTGGCCAGTATTTGACGGACTAGTTCAAACTTGGCTGCTACTTGTTGAATCCATAAACATCGGTTTGCAGAGAAGCTAATTGTGGTTAAGTGTTATTTTACGATACATACTATTAACGAATCTTGCAAATTTTATTTGTTTTGGACACACTTTTGTTCTCGGCTTGCAAGCCCTTGGATTTATTTCACCTCATTGTATTAGTTGGTAGCATCACTGAAAATAATCTGTCGACCTCAAGTTAATGAATTTGTCAGAAAACAGACAGGTTGAAGATGTGAAAAGAAGGAAGTGAATAAGTAGCTTGTAGAATCAACAAAAAATGAGTAAATCTGAGCTAGTAAATTCTGTGCCCAATTTAGACCCTTAAAACAAAAACCTAGCAGAGTGTAACATTTGCTATAAGAAAAAAATTTTATGTGATCAACATTGAGTTATTGTTTTCTGGCTTCTGTAAAAAAATTTATTGGGCCTAGAGCGTATTTTGGCAATAGTCATTGTGGATGGAAGCTTTTGAATAATCTGCAGGTATTTTCTCAAAAGTATGAGGGAATTTTGTCTACAGGATACATTTTTGTGTTTTTTTTTGCTTAACAAAGGTGTTAATTCTTAAAGAAACTCGATGTTATTGGGCTTTCTAAAATTTAGTTGCAGCAGTAATATAAATGTAAGCTAAGAAAAGTTATCGGGCACAATTTTATTTGCTTTGCACTCTTAACCATCACATTTCAAATCCCTCTGGTTATTGAGTGGCTTCAGTGTGAAAGTAACTAGAGTTATTGTTTCTTTAGTATTGAATTGCATAAAAATTACAACTACTAGAAATGTATGTTGGAATGCACTCTTAAGAAATAGCTATAGACGTTTTGGCTACTTTTATATGCTGCAAACCATAGTTGAATACTGCCCTACTAGCTTTGTCGAGGCCAGGTATCCTCAAAATTTCTAGTGATTTTCCATATTTTAGTTTTATATTCTGACTGAGCAAGGTTCATGCATTTCTGTGCTTGCTGTCAGGTGCAGTTGCATGTTAATGCAGAAATGCACTCATAGGCGTGCGCAAGATTTTTTGTTGAGGATGGGGTGGTGCGAGGGGGGAGGCAAGTTTGACTGCAACACAGCCGCCCCCCGCTTTCCTGTTAGTTGAGTCTCCACTGTAAACTCCGAAATTGGTGCAAAAATCAAAATGAAGCAGTGGTGTGCTTATCATAAGAGGCGTTACCATTGGTTCCCTGTTTTCCGGGGTAAAGGTGAGAAGTAAAAAGTTCTTTAAATGCAAGATCGGGAGTCATTGGTCGTAATTATCACCAAAGACATGCGTATCCGTAACCCTGGGCATTGAAAAGTAATGTGAAAGTCAGACTGAGTGAAGGTATGGGGTCGAATCAGCACCCCCATCAGATTTTGGGGGGGGGGGGGGGGGGCTTTTAATAATCTGATGCACACTCCTCGATCTTAATTTCAGGTCTTCCAAAGAGTACCTTGTGTTGTTTACTTTACTTTTTTGAAGAACGTTATTGTAGAGATAATGTTTCCGATAAGGCATGAAGCAAGCATTCTGACATAGAAAGGTAGACTTATTTTTCGGGTGCTTACTCATTTTTTTTCTTAAAATATAAACAAGAGATAAAAACTATTTTGCCCATCTAGAAGAAGTCCCACTGTGGGTGCCCCTAAGTTTTATATTTCACAGAAAAAGGAAGGGTTTATATTGCTGTTTTCTTGTGCACAGCTTGGAAGGAACAGATAAGCTCCAAACACCGCCTGCAAAGGTAGGGTGATCCACTGGCACAAGTGAGGTGACTTGCTGCTTTTCACTAAAAGATGTGGCCACAACATGCCTTTATTCAAA